CTTGGAATCTAATGGGGGTCTTCTGCGTGCAACGGAAAAGCTCCTACCCGCTATAACACACCGGTCTGAACGTCTATGACACCATGACTTTAATTCCATACGGGAATGACCCTAAGCAAATCGTCTCCAGGTCTACATAAACTATTATGGTCACATCCTGGACCTTGTCATATATAAGAATAAACCAATAGTTAAAAAACTGACAGTCACTGACAAAGCCATTTCTGACCACCATCTGCTTGTCTTTGACCTGGCTGTCCAAAAATACTAAATACCTCAAAAAGTTTTGTGCATGGTCAAGACATTGTCAAATTGAGATGCCATGTTGTTTAACGGAGAATTCTAAAGTTTACTATTGGATGTGACAGCTGTTTCTTTTTTTTTAATGTAGGAGTTTTTACGACCACATCGATACAATTCAGATGAAATAGCAGATGGGCTTTGACCATGTCTGTCAGGGCCATCCCAGGCTGAGAGGGATACAACGTAGAAAACGCTCGAAAAAATGTTCCCCGAGCAGAAATCATGTTAATGCTGCTGTTGTTATAAGAGTTGAATTCCACCCTCCTGGTTAGTAAGACGAATCCACTTCCATTCGGTAAAGTTAGTTTCAGAGTCGGGGAAAAACTTACGTAACGAGCGACAACAACCCAACAAACACAAAAAATATAAAGAAGAGCCCTAACCCTATCCCTACACCTATCCATACTAACTATCCCTACCCCAACCCCTAACCATACCCCTAACCCTACCCCTATGTTCTACTCACTCTGTCTCATAGTGGTCGCTCGTTACGGAAGTCCTCCTTGAGTGGGGCTGACACGACTCAAGGTTGACAGTAGTGGGAACTAAGTGAACTAAGAGAGAATAGATATTTCCTATATATCATTCTTGTAAGTCGTTCTAAGTCACAAATCCAAACCAACAAAAGTCTTAACCTGGAATCGGCTGTTGAGAATATAGCTTTCACAACATACTGTGTCAAACTAGCTTGCTTCATGATTCAAATCAATAGATAAATAATAACAGTCACATGATGTGCAGTGCTGGCTGATTTGAAACCGTTTGACTGGAGTGTCGAACTGAAAAAGAGGTAGATCTAAGCTTTCTTTGGCAGCTGCCATTAACACTAACACAGGCCAGAGTGGTAGCCTGGGGTTATGCTTTTGAAGAGAGAGAAAGAGGGAGGGAGAGAGAGAAGGGGGCGAGCAATTTTACCTCCACTGTTTACCAAACTATATATTTTTTAACACTGGAATAGAGAGCAGCCCCTGTGAAGAGAAATTATTATTATTTATTTTTTAAAAGTAATCGATACTGACTTGACATGTTTTCCTCTGCGTTCAGCAGGCTTGAGACTGTCATCATTTATCCCACTTTACAGCATTTCCAAACTGTTGTATGATAAGAGATCGACAGCCGTCAACCTCGACAGCAACTTTCCCTTTCCTTGTGACAATTTCCTCTCTGACTCTTGACAGTGATATCAAAGACTCTCAGAATGAAGCACAACCGAAACATAAACACACAACCTCCACGGTGATTTTAAATCACTCTCCTCAGTGAGTTGACGTTCGTTGTTGTTGATCCATATTTTAAGGGTTTCGACCTCTGTTGGAGACCTCCTTCAGGAAGCTTGATGTAGATCTAGATGTTTGGTTTGGTTTTGTTTTGTTTTATATGGTATTTTTCTCAGCCAGACCCTTGTTTTGACACGTCTTGGTGACAATAACAAAACAAGTGAAATCTTTTACCGAACTGTAGTATTTACGTTACCTTTCACTTCCAACGGCGTAGATCTCGTGGATCCCCGGGCGCCCGGCGACTGCTGTGTGTTGTCTCCGTTACGGTTAGGACTGACGCTCTCTCTTCTCACGTTGAGTTTTTAGTCTCCAGTCGATCTTGTTTGTACTCATCAGTGCACGGGGAAAAACTCATCAGTGCACGGGGAAAAACTGCTACCCGTGCACAACCAGTTGGCCAGAAAGTCGCCCCCAAAACTAGTCAAGTTTTGGAGACGTGAAAGGCTAAAATATTGGCCCTACATTACCCCCCTCCCAGTGCTGTGCACAGTGCGGATAGTACGATGCACTATGCACGAAATAATTGTTTATCCCTACAGGTCCAACCTCTCTGGAGGCCGGACTGTACGTCCTGTCCGTGTGGACTGGTGGGTGGATGCGTTAGGGTGTTCAAAAACTTTTCCAAGTTGAGTGTTGGCATTTGAAATGTATGCTGGCTTTAAACGATCAACGGATACTTTTTCTTTGCATCCTTTCAAATCCAAAGTGAAATATTTGTCATGGGTATTCAAGATCTTGAATGGACCATCATACGGTATCTGAAGTGGTTTTCTCTGCGCGTCGTGGCGAACATAAACATATCCCGTTGCAGCAAGATTGCTAGGTACATGGGACGTCTGACTCCCGTGGTAGTTGGAAACTGTTGGTTCCATACTGCGCATTGTCTTTTGTAATTGCTGAAGAAAAATGGAATCGGGTTCTATTGTCTGGGCATTCCGTGGTTGGAAAAATTCGCCTGGTAGTCTGAGTGTAGTCCCATACACCAACTCTGCTGGCGAACAACCTGGATCTATCTTCCACGAGGACCTTATCCCTAGCAATATGACTGGTAACTCGTTGAACCAATTAGGTCCAGTGACCCGAGACTTCAAAGATGCCTTGAACTGGCGATGAAACCTTTCAACCATGCCATTTGCTTGTGGGTGGTATGCTGTGGTATGATGATGTTCAACACCTAAGAGCTTGTTGAACTCTGACCATAAGGTTGAAGTGAATTGTGGCCCTCTATCAGATGTTATTTCTTCTGGGACTCCGAACTTTGATATCCAATGATTTAAAAGTGCGGACGCACACGTTGTAGCTTGGGCGTCTGGTAAGAGTATCGCATCCGGCCACTTAGTGAAACGGTCTGCCACTGTAAGAAGGTAGGACATACCATGACAGTTTGGAAGCGGCCCGACAAGATCAATATGCAAACTTTTAAAGGGGGCTCTCGTGGCCTAGAGGTTAAGGTGTTGGCCTCTCATTCAAAGGTCCCGTGTTCGATTCCGGGTAGCGACCAAAATATTTTCTTCTCTAAAATTGTCTCCTTTCACATCCTTTCCTGATCTCTAACAATGTTCTGTTGTCTGCTTTCATTTCCACTTTCTGCCCCCACCCCTCACCGCCTTTGCCCCCTCCTCTGGGCTCCTGACTCTTTCTGCAGCCTTTCTACTGCTACTCCTGGGCTCCTCCTAACTGCTGTCTTTCTGCCACACCCCTGATCTTCTGGTAGGAAAGATTTACACCTAGCCTTCTCGGACAAGGGCAAAAAATATCGGAGGGCCCGTGTGCAAGTTGCGCACGTTAAAGATCCCTTGGTGGTCTAAAATCGATAAGAGTAGGCTTCGGCCGCCACCCGGGCTAAATTCAAAATTTCCTACCTACGAAAAAGTATTAGGTGTGTCCCGCGCGCTCATATGACCTTATGCAGTTGCGAGCGCCGTAAAACCCTATACTAAACAAACAAACAAACAACAAACTTTTGAACCTCGAGGTAGGGGGTGCTCTATTTACCAAGGGAGCTTGAGTGTGGTGATGAATCTTCGAAGATTGGCACGGATGACATTCTTTACACCACTGTCGTATCTGTCGCTTCATATCGAACCACACAAAACGTTCAGTAATGGCTCTCTGTGTTGGCTTAACCCCAGAATGACACATACTATGAACGTGATCGAACACTTTTCTTGTCCACGATGAAGGTATGACCGGCCTCGCTGTTCCTGTTGAAACATCACAAAGTACTCTCGCACCATCAGACTCCACATATCGAAACTCCAGACCGGTGTCTTTGGAAAGATAAGTGTCCATTTCTCCCGAATCACTCTGAGCTTTAGCCAGCTGGCTAGGGGTTCCTAAGGGGAAACCATCTGGAACGGCCTGTGTGCTGCAAATCCTGGATAGAGCGTCTGCCACCACATTAAATTTACCCTTGATGTGTTGTATATCCGAGGTAAACTCGGCTATATATGACATGTGACGAGTTAGGCGTGGGGATCGGTCTGCCTGGGATTGAAATGCTGTTGTGAGTAGCTTATGATCAGTGAACAATTTGAAAGCTCTTCTTTCCAAAAAGTATTTGAAGTGTTTGATAGCGCCGTATGCAGGCAGTAACTCCCTGTCAAAAGCATTATATTTCTGTTCAGCATCTGAGAGTTTCCGAGAGAAAAACTCTATGGGTACCCAAGTGCTACCATGTCGTTGTTCTAACTGTGCGCCTGTAGCTTTTTCAGAGGCGTCTACTGTGACATTGGTTGGAGCGTCAGGTCGAGGGTGATGAAGAAGGATTGCCGTGGCTAAGGTTGCCTTCGCTTTGTCAAAAGCTGCTTGACAGCTGTCATCCCATTCAATCTTTTGTCCTTTACCACTTGCTTGGGCATGTAATGGAGCCAAATGTGAGGCGATGTTGGGCAGGAATCTGTGATAATAGTTGATCATGCCTAAGAAACGTTGTAGACTTGTACGATCTTTTGGTGGCTCACAGTTGCGGAGTGTGTTGATGCGGTCTGGTATGGGAAAAATACCTTTCGTGGTGATGCGATGTCCCAGGAAATCCAACGTCGGTACTCCAAAAATACATTTAGCTTTGTTGATCTCTAGCCCATTGTCTTTCCGGATTTGAAACAATACCCTGAGGTGTTCTTTATGCTCCTTTTCAGAATGACTTGCCACTAAAATGTCATCCAGATAAACGAACGTGAAGGGTATATCTCTCAGCACACCGTCCATTAGACGTTGGAATGATTGGGCTGCATTCTTCAAACCAAACGGCATTCTGGTAAACTCCCACAAGCCAAAAGGTGTGATAATTGCTGTTTTGGGGATGGAGGATTCTGACATCGGTGGTAACCTCTGACCAAATCTACTTTGGAGAAAAGTGTGCACCCTGAGAGTTTGGTGTTGAAATCCTGTATGTGGGGTAGGGGGTACCTGTCATCAAGTGTTTAGACCATTCAGTTGCCTGTAATCCCCACATGGTCTCCACGATCCATCTGTTTTGAGAACCATGTGTAGCGGTGACGCCCATGGCGACTTGTACCTTTGAATGACCCCCATCTTCTCCATCTTGAAAAACTCTTCTTTTGCCACCTCTAATTTCTGGGTGTCTAAACGTCTTGCCCGTGCGCTAGTGGGTGGACCTTGCGTGACGATACCATGCTTGTTGATATGAGAAGTGAATTGCGGGATTAGTATTTCTGGGAATTCTTTTGCGATGATCTTTGAGTATTCGTTGTGCGGCGACCAGGACAAACCGCCCACTGTGAGGATCTGGCGACTGTCTTTAAGCTTGATCGAAGCTTTGTCCAGTGATAACAATCGTTTTTGTCTTAGATCTATCACTAAGTTGTGTTTGGTAAAGAAATCTGCGCCTAAGATACGTCTGGTTACCTCAGCCAAGACAAACTCATGGGAATAAATGTGATTGGTTCCCAAGTGAATTGTGAAAGTTCTTTTACCCCAAGTCCTAATGCGCGTGCCGTTGGCAGCAGCTAGGGGTTCTGACATGATTTTATGTTGTCTGTCTTGTCTACTAGCAGGAAAAACGAAAATTTCTGCCCCTGTGTCTACCAAGAAAATTTCACCTGTGTGACGATCCGACAAGGTGAGCGTGGTTTTTTTTTCCTTGGGTCGGAAGCTGCCACGCCTAGCAACCGACAAGGCCGTTTCCCTGTTGGGAGCTTTGTGGAAGCAGTGACATAAACTTGCATCCGGCTTCACATCTTCGGGCATCAGTTCCGAAACGTGAATGATAATAGCATATGTGAGCTTGTCTGTATGAATGCGAGTTAGATCCAGGTCTACTGCTGTTCTTTTCTTTAAAAGTTTTCTGGAAATTTCTATCTGGGGTGGGTTGTTTAGTCGGTCTTCTTAACTTGGCGGCGTAAGTCACTGGGCTAACTGCCTCGCTATTGCTCTTCACGAACTCGGTTTCCACTGAATCGACAGTTTGTCTAGCCCCGGCGGCAAACCTAGCCTCCCAAACATGATCCGCAGCTTTCGCGAGGGCCTGAATATCCGCTATGTTCTGGGCTGCCAAGATTGTTCTAATTTCAGAGGGCAAATTTGTCAGAAATAACGCGTGCTTAAGCGTTTGGGGTTCGTCATTTAGGGCATTAATCTTTCGAAGCAAAGCTGTGGGTTTGCGGTCTCCAAGGCCATTGAGATTCAAAAGTTCCATGTCTTTTTGAATCTGTGATTTCCCAAATGTTGATATTAACATTGACTTCAGCGAACTGCATTTCTCTCTCGCAGGTGGGTGTAATAAAATGGCCTGAATTTCCTCTGCCGTTTCCGTCTCTACACTAAGGCACTGACCACGTAGTCATATTTGGTCTGGTCTTGGGTGATATTTTTAGTGCCAAACTGTGCCTCTACTTTGGCAAACCAGACCTAGGGGGACTTGTTCCAGAATTCTGGAATTTTGACTGATGCGGCATTTACCTCCTTGTCTGAAGCCATGGTTAGTTTGACTCCAGATGTCAAGTCTAGGCTAGATATAGGACTTAAAACGGCGATTAATTTCTACAATGTCTGTGAAGCTTTGTTATACTTAGAGCTAGAATTTAGAATCTAGTAATGGCAAGACAAATACAGAATTTCAGTAAGCTAAGGAGCGACGTCAATAAATGCCAGCAGTGCAAATTGTAAGCAGGGATCCAGATCTAGAGATAACTAACTAGAAGTAAAATTGTAGGCTAATAGAAACAGATCTTACCGGGATTGTCCGCGGAGTACGTGGTCAGTGAAGAAAGCACTGGGGGGTAATGTCTAGTCGTTGAGCGAATATTATGTCGACGAGAGTTTTTCGTGACTTGTGGCGATATTCCTTTGTCGGGGTCACCAATGTAGTATTTACGTTACCTTTCACTTCCAACGGCGTAGATCTCGTGGATCCCCGGGCGCCCGGCGACTGCTGTGTGTTGTCTCCGTTACGGTTAGGACTGACGCTCTCTCTTCTCACGTTGAGTTTTTGTCTCCAGTCGATCTTGTTTGTACTCATCGGTGCACGGGGAAAAACTGCTACCCGTGCACAACCGATTGGCCAGAAAGTCGCCCCTAAAACTAGTCAAGTTTTGGAGACGTGAAAGGCTAAAATATTGGCCCTACAGAACAACAAACAATCCTTCACACGATGACGATAACTTTTACGAAGTTCTTAATGTGAAAGAGTTCTCTGATAGAGAACAATTCAATAGATCCTCCCCCTCCCCCACCGTCAACACTAGCCGCTCCCACATCTGTCTGTCCGGGTGTACGGCAAAAGTGGTCGTCGAGATTTTGTTTGGGTGTGTTGAAAGTTTGTCTTTGGGTGAAGTAAAGGGGACCAGGACTACGAGTTGATTACTTCTCACTTTCAGTTTGCTTTCTATTATAGTAGTGTTTCATTTTCTTTTCGTGCCGATCATTTCAGTTTCTATCCATCTTAATGACTTCAATAATTGTCTGGAAACTCAGACTTACGAATTAGATCTTAAATGCTTGTGGGCCCACTCGGGGCAGATCACTACTCACCTTAAAACAGGGTCTCAAGCTTTACACGCACATCAATGGGTCAAGAACGTTTGGGGGGTTTTTTAAGTAAGGGTTTTACGGCGCTCGTAACTGCATAAGGTCATCTGAGCACTCGGTATACACCTAATATTTTGAGTTGGCAGGAAATTTTGAATTTTGCCCGGATGGCGGCCGAAGCCTACTCTTATCGATTTTAGACTACCAAGGGATCTTTAACGTGCGGAAATTGCACACGGGCCCTCCGAGATTTTTCACCCTAGTCCGAGAAGGTTAGATCTAGGTGTAGATCTTTCCAACCGGAAGATCAGGGGTGTGGCAGAAAGACAACAGTAAGAATGAGCCAAGGAGTAGCATTAGAAAGGCTGCAGAATGAGTCAGGAGCCCAGAGGAGGGGGCAAAGGAGGTGAGGGGGTGGGGGGGGGCAGAAAAGGGAGACGAAAGCAGAAGACAGAACATTGCTAGAGAGCAGGAAATGAGGTGAAAGGAGACAATTTTGGAGAAGAATATTTTTCGGTCGTTACCCGGATTCGAACCCGGGACCTTTGAATGAGAGGCCAACACCTTAACCTCTAGGCCACGAGAGCCCCCCAAGAACGTTTCAATGTGTTAGCGATTCCAACTATCCATAAAAACATATTTGTTAAATTGACACGTTCACGAAAAGAGTCATCAACCTTTTTGCTCTAAAGGGCAGAAAGGCTGAATTTTTGTGCAAGTGAAAAATACATCGAAACCAGGTCATTTTTATCGACAACGCATATTTGTTATAATTTTATGTTTTTGAAGACTTACATATTTCGGCTCTTTCACATTATGTATAGAAATGTTTATGCATGTCGGTAGAGGAAGGTAACCATGTCCCACAAGTGCTCTACATTTCTTTTGTGTATGTGTGTGTATGTATGTACGTATGTGTGTGCGTTTGTGTGTGTGTTTGTGTTTGTGTGTTTGTGTGTGTGTGTGTGTTTGTGTGTGTGGCGAGGAGCGGTGGCAGAGAGAATGGAACGAAGATGTAGGCATAAAATGAAGAATATGTGTCTCTCTGTGTATGTTGTGGGTGAAAGAAGAGGAGAGGAAAGTTGACGTGAATAACAGCTGGTCAGTTCTACATACCACGCGCCGCCCCTTGTGCCATGCATAAATCTGGAAGTCCATTCGGGCATATTACTTCCTTCTGCGTGAAAACAAAACTTTTGACCGGTTATTACTTTGTAGTCTTTAGATTTCTTTAGATTGGCTGCTTTCATCAACCGTATCAAACATATCAAACCTATTAAATGGTGACCAAAAAAGAAAAAAATATCAAACCTGTTTGTTTAATTTTGGAAAATTTGATCAACGTGAACTATGATCGTGATAGCCTTTTGTTCCTTCATTAAAGAAAACATTTCTCTTTTTAATATTGATGTTTATACTCCCCTTTCGAAACAACGTAAACCAATTATAATTTGGAAGCGGGCTTCCGGCCCTGCCTGTCAGGCCAACCCAGGCTGAGAGGGATACAACATCCTAGCAGAAAGCCGGAAATTATTTTAAAAATTGTCTTCCCCGCTTGGGAATAGAACTCGGGTTTCCTGCGTTCGACAGCGAAACGCCTGATGATGGACACCACAGACGTCGGTAAGGAGAACCTGGCGCCGTCATATTAATACTGTAATCATCAGAGATTTGACAAAACTTACCTGCAATGAGCTCTGAATATTTTACTATATGACTATTATGCTGAAAAATTGTGGCGCCAAATGATTACGCTAATAATTGATTTGTCAGCTTAATGTAGATTTTGTTATTGTGTTTATTATTGTTTTACTCTCTTCGTCGACACAAATCAGAACGTCATGGAGAAGGCATGGCAGGGTCTACGCAGGATGACGGGAAAGCATCAGAGTTGCTCACTTTCGAAAAAAAATAGATCAAGGCCGCGCACTATCAGATCCGCGCACTTTTTAACGGTATCGGCACCATTAGTTTACCAATACCATCCAAAGGTTACATTCTCCGTAACAAAAATGATTATGTACCATTTCTATACAACCAAGCGCCACGAAAACTATTTTCCAAGTGATGTTTTTGTAATGACGTGAAATTTTTTGTATAAAATATTAAGGAATTCTTTGTTGCTATTATTGGGCCCTAAGAATGTAGCTGGTGTACCAAAAATGACCAATACCAAAGATAGTAAATAACAAGATGGGCCACTCAGCCCAAAAAAATGTCCGCAGGAAGTATGCTCTTTGCTTCAGATGGCGCTGCA